ATTGCTTTAAAAGACTTGATAGTAAATGAGAAGGTGTAGAATACTTTAAGCTTTCATATGGTCATTACTTTATGGGGAGTATCAACAAAAACTAAAAGGTATTTTATTAGTGATTGTTTTATATTGATCAAAGTTTCATTAATGATTATTATGAATATCATCAATCAGTAGTTGTTATAGCAACATTAAACAATAATATTAGTAGCAATAAATAGCAAACGATGATAATGAATCATCATTTTTTGAGGATGATAATAGAGATTAAGATCCGGTTTGTGTAGAAGTTCGAAGTGAATGTTAAGGACAAGATCTATACTAACAAACGTTCTATCAATTATTCAATAGTTTGTGTAGGGGTGATCGAAGTAGGCATTAAGGACAAAATCTATGAACAAAATATAATAACGAATGTTTTATTAATTATTCAATAGTTTGTGTAGGAGTGATCGAAGTAAGTTTTAAGGACAAGATCTATGAACAAAATATAATAACAAACATTTTATTAATTATTCAATAGTTTGTGTAGGAGTAATTGAAGTAAGCATCAAGGACAAGATCTATGAACAAAATATAATAAAAAACGTTTTATTAATTATTCAATAGTTTGTATAGGAGTGATCAAAGTAAGCATTAAGGACAAGATCTATGAACAAATATACTAACAAACGTTTATTAATTATTCAATAGTCTGTATAAGATCTGTGAACAAAATATTCTAACAAACATTTTATCAATTATTCAATAGTAGTGTAGGAGTAATCGAAATAAGCTTTAAGGACAGGATCTATGAACAAAATGTTCTAATGAACATTTTATTAATTATTCAATAGTCTGTATAGAAGTGATCGAAGTAAGCATTAAGGACAAAATCTATTAAGCTTGCGAAGCATGTTTTACAAAAATAAACGTTTTATCAATTATTCGATAGTTATATTTATTATTATTTATGTATATAAATTTCTCTTTTATATTTAATAACATCACTATGATAAATAATAATTCAATGAATAAAGTCAGAGGTAAAACACCTTTTGATTTAATCATCATTGTTGCTTGTTTATTATTCTAATCATTATTTATGTATATAGGTAAAGAAAAATTTTAAAATCTATTTATTTATTATATTACTTTTAAAATAAATGATTTTACTATAAAAGACATACCTAAGTGATTAAAAATCTACAAATATTCATAATAATGTAATATTTGGACATTTATTTCTACTTATACCTGCAATTGGACGCGTCAAACAAAATTTTACATGTATGAATATAAAGGCAAAATTTGACTTTGAGGGTCAGATTATTTTCGGTTTTATTAACAACCTGCTTTAAAAATTTTCTTAAAGCAGATACATATGACAAAGAAGTTATATCTCAAATTTGGTGGTGGTTGCTATACAGCAAGGTATTAAATGGGGATTAGAAGTCACTTGGTTGTAAAATTTTACTATGTAAATTCGAATTTTACTATGATTCAGATCATCAAAAATTTATGTCTTGGTATTTTTTTCAAACATAAAAATACAAGAAAGAATACTTTGAGTTATAATAAACAAAATTTATTATCACAATCACATTTGCTTCTTAAATAAAAATTAATCTTTACATTACTTTGTGCACGCCTGATATAGGATAACAAGACTCGTTTACATTGAATATTGATTACAAGTAATTCTTGCTATTTATTACTACTTTGTTTTAAAAATATCCAACACATTTGTTTTAAAAAATTTTATCAATAAAACATTCTTTTAATAAATAAATAGTAGCAATAAAATTCTAACATATAATCAAAGTCTTTGATGTTCCAAATGTCTGTGTTTTGCAATCCAATCTCTAACAAATATACTTACTCTCATGAATCTACTTGTGGAATATTTTCGGAAAGCATAGTTAATGTTTTTATCTTTGGCCAAATATTTTAATATCATATCTGAATATGGTATGATTTCTTGTTCCGTAAAGGTGGAATAATGGATCAAATTGGAATGCTAAGAAATTAAACAAATATATGTTATTTAATATATTACCTTCAACAAAAAATTAAAGATTTTTTAAATATTACCCATTCACCACAATTAAGCATTATACGAGCAAGGTACAATGAAGATGCAGCAATCATCGAAGGTCTACATGATACAAAATTATGATCTATAAGTGTTATCTCCATCAAATATTTGGCAAGAGTACGAGACCGAATGTCATATTGATCAGCTTTTGAAATTCTTCGAAGAAAATGCATCGGATTTGGATAGCACAACTTGTAATTTAATAATTGTAAAACATATCTTTCAGCTTTGAGAATTTCTTCTTCGGCATAACCACCATCAGACATATATAAATAATTCGTGATTGATGGTGCCGCCATTTCTTCATATTTCGATGCGATAAAAACAGCAGTGATTCCTGCAAGCTGTAACTTTGCCATTTTCACTACACTCTCAGAAAGGAATCTATCAAGAATGTTTACTGATAGAAACAGTGTTTCAGGAAGTAGATCAAATTTATAATGTATTTCAATAATCCAATTAATAAGAATTGTTCTCATCTTCCAATTCAATTCTGTTTGACCTTTCATGTAATCACGTATTGGCATGGTTTCATTCTAATTAATTGGTTAATCAAATTATTAATTGTTATTTATTATCTTTCATCAATATATTATTATAATATTATAATTAAAAATTCTTGCCTCCAAGTTTCTTAAATAAGCAAAAATATCCACTGCATACTCTGCCACCATCATCGGATCATCCATCTCCTCTGAATCAAGATCATCCCAATCTTGAGTTTTTGGTTTCTTTGAACTTAACGTTTCTATCTTATTTTCATAATTTATAGATTCAGTAGTTGTAACCAATACTGGATCAATTAAAAATGCTTGCTTTGTTTTTGCAGCTATGATGTTTGTATTTGAATCATTCGAATCAATTTGCTGGTTTTTGTTTGTTAAATTAAAATTATATTTTGTATTGATAAGCTTGTTATCATCGTTTTTGGATTGTACGTCACGAGTTTCAGTATTCTTGTGAATTTCTACTCTAGATTTCAAAGGTATGTATAATGTGGGTTGTTTCCTTGATACAGCAACAACATTATTTTCAATTTTTGATGATTTTAATGTGCTTAAATTACTGGTAGATGCATTATTATTATTATTATTATTGGTGTTGTTGTTGTTATTAATGTTACTCACATCCTTTAAAGCTATTCTTTTACGTCCAAATGTATTGATATTATTGATGTTCATGGTAGATAATTACGATAGCCTTGCTAAGTGGAATCTAATGTTATTAGATGTGGACTCAAAATATGATTGGTTGGAAAATCCTGTTTAGGAAGCATATGACATTTTCACGTGTGACATAATTTTTTTGAACGTCGATCATCGCAGTATTTAGAAATTCCATATATATAAAAAAAAATTTTTATAGGAAATCTGATTTGGGAAAGGATCATCAACATTCACGATCAATTTTAATGATGAAAAAATCAAAATCTAGTCATGGTATGTAGAATGCCTGACACAGTGGTAATATATTGAAATAATGGTCATAAATAATGTTAGCCGAAATTGCCTCTTTTAATAAATGATCATCACCGAATCTGACATAGTTGCCGAAATTAACTTTATTGGTTATCGAAATTATCCAAAATTATTTGAACACTTTAACTTCAAATCCATTTCGGCCAACATCCTAAAAGTAGTTGATCCTCCAACAATTACAAAATCAAACTAAAATGATATTAATTCTTTTATAAAAGAAAAAAAAACAAGAAAAATTCTTCAATTGATTTATTAATAGTAGTGGTAGCAGCCACATAAGCAAGTGGAATAATAATATTTTTGCAATTGTAAATATCAATAATTGTTATAATGATATTATTAACAATAATGGCATTCAATAATAACAATAATCAAAAAATATAATAATTAATAATAACTATAGATGGGTGTTTAAACTAAATTATTTAGACATTTGGACAATTGAGACTTGTCTAAAATGTTGAAATTGAATTTTTATCGGATAATTTATTGAACATTGGGACTTGTGTATGTCCACGTGACTTTTAGTCGTATTTATCTAGGGGGTGGGGTTCAACACGAATGTTACACGCACCAAGATTTCACAAATCCAAACTGTCCCCCCCCCTTGAAATTCATAAATTCAACGTTTTTATATAACGAAATAATGTTTTTATTTACTCATACAAGCATTATTATGATTTTGATATCGCAAATCAACAATCGATTTAATTATGATGTGTTATCCATTCTAGATAAGTAAGCATTCATCAACCTTTTGAATTTATATTGGAAAATTATATTGATAAAGAGCAAAATTAAACTTAGCAGAGATTAAAAAAAGGAACAACAATTTTTTGTGCATAAGCTTTCTTTATTCGAATCACAAAAGGTATACATTTATATTATTTTTGTAGGTTATAAAAACCAGGAGGCTTAAAAGAAAGCAAAATACGACCATCGATAACCAATCGCAATATTGCATTTGCAGCACGATAAGAATCTGGCCTTGCAGATTTTCCACTATAGAAGCCTCGTTTAATAGCAAATGCTTAGAGATATAAAATAATTAGTATTATGATTTAAAAATGAAATTCGATTAAATATTAATATAATAATTATTACCTTCACAAATATCCCATGCAGACCATTTATACTCATTTTTTGTTTCAGGGGGTTGAATTTTCAATATATTCTCTAAGCGAATTCTTTCTGCCTATTTGTTTGAAAAATAATAATAATAGAAATTAAAGTTCAAAAATGAAATAGAAATGGAATGATTAAATTATTTATTAATCTTACCAAATATTTAATAGAACTATAAGGTTCTTGAACTTGTGAAATTGGATATAGTCCACATAAAATCTATTTGAATTATTTAATAATTTGTTTTTTTAAAAGATGCAAATACTAAAAAAAAAAGAGAAACAATAACCTGGATTTGTTTTGATAATAGACTTGGAAAAACTAATCCAGGAGAATCACATAATCTAACATTAGCAGATAGATGAATGGTTTGAAAATGTTTTGTATGGCCTATATATATTAAATATGAATCAGTTATATATATTAAATATTTATGATTAATAATATTATAATCAATAAACACCTGGAGTTCTTGAAGTGCTTACAACAGTTTTACCCATAAAACTATTTATAAAGCTACTTTTTCCAACATTTGGATGTCCTAATTATTATTAGGACGACATTTTAAAATGTTAGAAATAATATATAGGAACTTGGAATGATAAATTAACTTGCTTCATTTTAATGTTACCTATTACCTATTAAACCAATTGTAATTAAATTATTTCTAGGTGTCGTTTCACATTGAATGCCTAATAATTTTAATTGTGTCTCTAGAAAATTAAAAAACCGATTTTTAAAACAATTACTTGTTAACTTTTTTCAGCGTGTAGTTTTAAATCTTTTAATAAAAGCTATCGTACCTATTTGATTAACATCACTATTATTCAATTCATTTTGAGACTTGTCATTCCCTTCCTCATTAACATAAATTTCTTCTTCTTTACCTATTGCCCTTTCATCATCATCGTCACCATCGTCACCATCGTCATCATCCTGTTGAATATTATTAAGACTTTGTTCTCTTAATGAATACTCTTGTATTAAACTTGCCCAATCGACTTCTACACCGAGTTTATTCAACTTTAAATTACTACATTCGGTCAAAAAATCTTTAATTCCTACAGGCTGGTAATATCTTTTTCTAGGCCGTTTAGTTCTTTTTTGTAAATAAGCTAACATAAATATCAGTATTTATTTAACCATCATCGCCATCATCGTCATTACTATTGTTATAATTATCATCAATGATGAATATTATTATAAATAAAATAATTACCAGTTGATGTATCGTCAACAAATTTTTTATCACAAGGGTAACAGCTAAATTCTACTACAACAATTTCAGGAAACTCTTTTTTAAAATAATTTTTCCACGAATTAACCGTATTTTTTGTAACTAGATCAATCTATAAACAAACAAACAAATATATAAAAAGAAAATAAATTATAATTAATTATTTTTTTGATCATCTTTTACCTTATTAAATACAAGAAACATTTTACGCTCCAACTGATTAACAATATAACCATAAAGCGAAGGAGGAAAATGCAATAAAGGGTGTCTTATGTCAACTAAAATCAAAAAAATGTCTGAAATTTCGAGAACCCGCCATCTAACATATTATATTTTTATAATGGTAAAATCCCATTTAATCCAATTATTTATTAAAAATAAACATTATAATAATTACAATTGACGCCAAACCTAAATAAAATATTTTAATTAGAAAATAAAAATCATCAAATTATCATAATAATAATAAACAATAAATATAAATTACGTTAAGATTATGTTCAAAAAAATTCAATTCTTCTTTTGGATATTGTTCATATATATTGCTGAGCCATTCTTGAAAATAATGTTTTTCTTTGCTTTCCAACTCTTCTTTTGTCATATCATAATTCCATGGTGGTCTTTTGGGAAAATCGATGATGGTTGTGTAGCTCTCTTCTTTAGATACTTCTAAAGCTGTCTTTTAATACATTGTTATTTTTTAAAAAAAACTGTCTAATTGTACGTACGATAAATCCGAAATAACAAAACGGTCTTATTTTACCAAAGGAAGACGTGTAAAAGGTATCATGCTTTCATTTTGTAGTTTTCTGATTTCTTGAGGTGTTTGTTTCTCAAATACAGAATTCAACCTTTTAAAGGAAATAAAAATTATTAATTATATCATCACATTATAATGCTTCGTTCACAGATCAATTCCCGAACAAACCTAGTGATGTCTTGAGCTTTAATAGAAACAGTATCATTGGTGCTCTGTGAGGAACTTGCTTCAATTTTTTTCTTAAGATTTTTTTCAATTGTATTTTTTTGTTGTAAACTATCATTAACTTCCGTTGGTATGTAGAATGCCTGACACAGTGGTAATATATTGAAATAATGGTCATAAATAATGTTAGCCGAAATTGCCTCTTTTAATAAATGATCATCACCGAATCTGACATAGTTGCCGAAATTAACTTTATTGGTTATCGAAATTATCCAAAATTATTTGAACACTTTAACTTCAAATCCATTTCGGCCAACATCCTAAAAGTAGTTGATCCTCCAACAATTACAAAATCAAACTAAAATGATATTAATTCTTTTATAAAAGAAAAAAAAACAAGAAAAATTCTTCAATTGATTTATTAATAGTAGTGGTAGCAGCCACATAAGCAAGTGGAATAATAATATTTTTGCAATTGTAAATATCAATAATTGTTATAATGATATTATTAACAATAATGGCATTCAATAATAACAATAATCAAAAAATATAATAATTAATAATAACTATAGATGGGTGTTTAAACTAAATTATTTAGACATTTGGACAATTGAGACTTGTCTAAAATGTTGAAATTGAATTTTTATCGGATAATTTATTGAACATTGGGACTTGTGTATGTCCACGTGACTTTTAGTCGTATTTATCTAGGGGGTGGGGTTCAACACGAATGTTACACGCACCAAGATTTCACAAATCCAAACTGTCCCCCCCCCTTGAAATTCATAAATTCAACGTTTTTATATAACGAAATAATGTTTTTATTTACTCATACAAGCATTATTATGATTTTGATATCGCAAATCAACAATCGATTTAATTATGATGTGTTATCCATTCTAGATAAGTAAGCATTCATCAACCTTTTGAATTTATATTGGAAAATTATATTGATAAAGAGCAAAATTAAACTTAGCAGAGATTAAAAAAAGGAACAACAATTTTTTGTGCATAAGCTTTCTTTATTCGAATCACAAAAGGTATACATTTATATTATTTTTGTAGGTTATAAAAACCAGGAGGCTTAAAAGAAAGCAAAATACGACCATCGATAACCAATCGCAATATTGCATTTGCAGCACGATAAGAATCTGGCCTTGCAGATTTTCCACTATAGAAGCCTCGTTTAATAGCAAATGCTTAGAGATATAAAATAATTAGTATTATGATTTAAAAATGAAATTCGATTAAATATTAATATAATAATTATTACCTTCACAAATATCCCATGCAGACCATTTATACTCATTTTTTGTTTCAGGGGGTTGAATTTTCAATATATTCTCTAAGCGAATTCTTTCTGCCTATTTGTTTGAAAAATAATAATAATAGAAATTAAAGTTCAAAAATGAAATAGAAATGGAATGATTAAATTATTTATTAATCTTACCAAATATTTAATAGAACTATAAGGTTCTTGAACTTGTGAAATTGGATATAGTCCACATAAAATCTATTTGAATTATTTAATAATTTGTTTTTTTAAAAGATGCAAATACTAAAAAAAAAGAGAAACAATAACCTGGATTTGTTTTGATAATAGACTTGGAAAAACTAATCCAGGAGAATCACATAATCTAACATTAGCAGATAGATGAATGGTTTGAAAATGTTTTGTATGGCCTATATATATTAAATATGAATCAGTTATATATATTAAATATTTATGATTAATAATATTATAATCAATAAACACCTGGAGTTCTTGAAGTGCTTACAACAGTTTTACCCATAAAACTATTTATAAAGCTACTTTTTCCAACATTTGGATGTCCTAATTATTATTAGGACGACATTTTAAAATGTTAGAAATAATATATAGGAACTTGGAATGATAAATTAACTTGCTTCATTTTAATGTTACCTATTACCTATTAAACCAATTGTAATTAAATTATTTCTAGGTGTCGTTTCACATTGAATGCCTAATAATTTTAATTGTGTCTCTAGAAAATTAAAAAACCGATTTTTAAAACAATTACTTGTTAACTTTTTTCAGCGTGTAGTTTTAAATCTTTTAATAAAAGCTATCGTACCTATTTGATTAACATCACTATTATTCAATTCATTTTGAGACTTGTCATTCCCTTCCTCATTAACATAAATTTCTTCTTCTTTACCTATTGCCCTTTCATCATCATCGTCACCATCGTCACCATCGTCATCATCCTGTTGAATATTATTAAGACTTTGTTCTCTTAATGAATACTCTTGTATTAAACTTGCCCAATCGACTTCTACACCGAGTTTATTCAACTTTAAATTACTACATTCGGTCAAAAAATCTTTAATTCCTACAGGCTGGTAATATCTTTTTCTAGGCCGTTTAGTTCTTTTTTGTAAATAAGCTAACATAAATATCAGTATTTATTTAACCATCATCGCCATCATCGTCATTACTATTGTTATAATTATCATCAATGATGAATATTATTATAAATAAAATAATTACCAGTTGATGTATCGTCAACAAATTTTTTATCACAAGGGTAACAGCTAAATTCTACTACAACAATTTCAGGAAACTCTTTTTTAAAATAATTTTTCCACGAATTAACCGTATTTTTTGTAACTAGATCAATCTATAAACAAACAAACAAATATAAATTATTAATAATAAAATTGTTCATTGACAATTTATCCAATCTACACAATCTGGTTTAGCAGATAATTTGGGTAATTGGAAAAGTTTTTCCAAAAATCTGTTATTATTATCCAAGAAAGACAATTAGCTGAAAAATTAGAATTATATTGATACAGTCAAACTTTGTCACGGCAGACTAGACTATAATAATTAAATTCTTGTCATAACGGATTTTAAATAAAATTTTCTTATGTGTCCCGTTCATCCGCTATGACAAGGTTTTGTATTTTTTGTAAATTTAATAAAAAATTTTATATATTAAATAATGTCAATAGAACGAAAAAACTTCAAACTTATCCACATATATACATCAATGGCTTATTATTATATATATATTCCGACAAAATTAAAAAAAAAAATTTATTATATATATTAATTTTATTAATAGTTTGCAAACCATATAGAAGTTGTTTTTTATCTGAAAGTGCTTTTTGGGTTGGCTGAAAAATTTCCAATAAAATAACATAATATACATGTGTAAATAAAATTTCTGATCTTCAATTACAGTTCTTCA